CTGTAAGAGATTATCCTCTCGTTCTTAGATAACTTATAGCAGCTTTTTTAGTCCATTCTAAGTCTGATCTTGTTGCAGTTTTCCACAGCTGAACTACTAGTTACCTCACGTGTATCTGTTTTATACTGATGAAATAGTAATTCAAATGATAAACATCTGTAAAACTTACATAGCAACGGTGTAACCTCTGTTTAAACCAGATGTTAATGGCTTATATACTAGACTAACAGGTAATATACACACAACTGAGTACTGCTTCTAACTAGAATGGCACTCTGTAGAGTGAATACCTTCGCCATCAAGCTGCACCAAATTTCACACACACATAGATTTCAGTTCTCTAAATGTGCCTGATTTTTTACCGTGAATATATTAGGCAGACCCAGTATTGGCATAACAATGTTTTGATGTACCATAATTGACAGATGTGCATTATTTCAGTAATTATGTATAGTAATTTTAACCCCTAACCCACCAAACTGCTAATAGATCCTCTCCATGCCCTGCCATTCTTACCCATACTAGAAAAGACGTGGTTAACGCAATATGCTGTCCTACAATATGAGAAGGTAAAAGTCTTTATACCTAATCTATGTTTGATGCTGGAGTAAAGAGCTGCTGGTCATTTCATTTTAAGTATTGGGACAACAGAATGCATTACGGTAAGCCTCTTCACAGTGATGACCTCAGTTGTTCACATGAAAAGTATAGAAGATCAGGCCCTGCCTACATTCTCACCTGCACCAGTCACTGAGGGTCGAGGCTAAGGATGTTGAATCAGTTGCAAAGATGGTGAGGCATCAATTTAACCTAATCTGATGTCATGAAATAGAAAGATACAACACTGTGTTAAGACCATTGTGTGGGGGAAAAGACAGGGGAGGGGTTACTGGCAGTGCTCCGGGAAATGCCTAGACACAACATGAAAATCCTATGTATTAGGAATATCATTCAGAGCACATTGACACCAGTGTTGGCCCTTGTCATCAAAACCTTTCGAATTACATGGTCTTTCCGAGTTGACATTTTCTTTGGTGTCCTCTATGTGTATGGCACCTATTTTTAGTTAGAGATATTTGAATTATTATTTTTCTTTTCAGCTATTTTCCTGCCCTGACAAGGTTTGACTGATGGAAGATGCAGTTGACGATGTCTGACTGCCATCACAATGTTAAGCCGACATCATGATGTACCGCGTGTGGTTCACAGCGGAATGGAGAGAGTAGACCCCCAGCAGTGACATTTGTTATTAAAGTCCCAATTTTGCTCCTGGGTGATGCCTTTGCTGTTATTGACTTTAATATCACCTTGGTAAACACTTACCTATGAAGCTTGTGAATGCTGGACTCGATCCATCGAATAACATTTTTTTTTACCAGTGATGTAACAAGTGATATCCTTGCATTTTTCCTTTTGGTAGTCAGAATCTAATACTTAACTATCCTATGGACAAATCGGGTCTTGTTACAGTTGTTTTCCTGTAAAAAGTTGCATGAAGTTGTGACTTAAATCAGAGGACATCAAATCTTTTTGGGCTGATTGTTTTTTTCAATTTCTTACCTTCTAATTACTTTAATCCCTCAATTCTGATGAGCTCTGCCCGAAAGCAGCTTTCTGACTTATACATACCATACAGTAAAAATATAGTCTCATTTATAATATTTCTTGGAATAACAACATTTATGTGAGCTAATAAATATTCTCTAATGAGTGGAATTTACACACAGTCTCTTTGAGTCTGTCACAGCACTTGATATGTATCCTTGTTCTCCTCATCTTGGAGTGAATACATTGAAGACCTCAGCTGTGATAAAGATCTCCGGGAGGAAACATGATGCAGTCCAGCATGGCTGCAGATCACCCAGTTGCTTTGTGCAGAGGTCAAAAACTAGTGCATTACAAGAGGCTGTGACTCTGAGGCATGTGGCTTTGCTGCTGTTTTTGTGACTAATCCCTTTCACCACAGCCGGATTTTGGCATCACCTTTCATGACATACGTTAGCTCTGACCCACAGTGTGTTGCCTGTGGCAGGCTATTGGGCAGGAAATCCTGAGGAGACTAAAAGATAAAGAAAAGCTGGTCAAGCACAGGTCAGAGGGGCATAGGGTCCATTTACCTGTCTTAGATTATGCTTTCGTCCAGATGTATTATTTTAAAACCCTTGCAGACACAGTAACACCTTCTTGCTTATTGGTCACTTCAAAATATGTCATATTGACTTTTGTAATGCCTGTGTAACTCTATAGAAAGAGAAAAGATACGTTCTCACACTTTCAAATCAAAAGTTGAATTTGTGAGTAGAAAATGACTCTTTGTCAGTTCAGTACCACCACTCTTATCTTATCTTAAATCATTATTTCAAGTTTTGCTGTATAGTTGAATTATCCTCAAGTGTATGCTGAGATGACTGGTACCTACCTGATCAACAATTACACAGCACCAGCCAACTAACAAAGCAAAGTAGCATGTTCATTCATTCACTTCCCAAATTAGATGAATTACTGCACACTAGGCCTACTTTAGTCAGGAATTATTTTTAAAAGTCAAGAAAAACTTATGTCAGTATATATATATGCAGCAGAAAGTGATGATTTTTTTAGCCTGTCCAATAACCAAATTATGCAGTTCAATTCATGAAATAGATGAATTAAGATTAATGGGAAAAAGTGCCTCTGCACCTAAAACTAATCCAGGACAATCATAGTTTAAACATAAGAGAGAAAATGAACAAAATGTTAAGGCAAAGGTAAATGAGAGCTAGTTTAGTTGAGTTTGAGATCTTTGGCACAACAGGAACACATATTTACACAAATTGCAAATGACTGTCATGACTCGCTGTGGCAGATAGATCCTGGCTTGTGCTCCCTGCCCTGCGCCTTGCTACCCCCTGATTGTCTGTGTACTTAAACCCTGTGTGTCTTCCGTCATGTTGCCAGTTCATTGTGTTCTAGTGTCGATGTTCCAGCATAGTTTTCTTGTGAGTTTCTCAGTATATTACCATTGCCTGTTTTCCTGCCCATGCCTTTTTGCCTGCTCCCTTTTGATATCGTTGCCTTGTGCCTTTTGATTGTGCACCAACCTGGATTGATTAAACTGCCTGAACTCTGCCTTTTGAGCCGTGCATTTTTCGGTCCTCCATTCGCTGGTTCTGATATTAACATATGTTTCTTAAAACGCTTAGCTCTAGTGTACCATTTAAATGGTACATGCAGTGCATGGGTACATTGATTTTCAGGGATACACAGGAAAATAAGCATGGAGTCATGTAAAGAGTCCATTTTAGAATTGTTTCACTTGAGTGCCTGTTTCTTACTAGGCTTTCTGAATTCCTTAGGGTCACTTCTGTGGTCTTGAAAATATCTTGCAATAGTGAGCATGTCCCTGTACCTTGTTCTCATTCAAATATTTGTCAGGGAATGTCAGAGATAAATGTGTGACTGTGTGTGTGGGAATAAGTTTATGTGCACACAGTATGAACCTGTCTGGAATGTTTAGATAGCTCTTTGTAAGCTGCTCTTTGAGTTCGCTTGAATAAAATGAGCTCATCCAGATTTCAGCCGGGCCTTCAATGCATCAGGCTGTGCTGGCGGAAAGTGCACAAAGGACTGAAGTCAAGTGGATGTGACAAATGTTCAGATGGCTCCATTTTTTTCTTCCATGTCAGTGCAGTTTGTTGTCTATGGGACAAGGTCTCCTGTATATCCAAGCTGTTGAATGAGTCAACTTTCACCATGGGTCTGTTCTGTCCTTACTTTACCTGCAGGGTGATAGATGACACTGGTCTCAGCCACTGCTCCGTTGGCCCCTTTTCCTTGTTCTGGACTTTACCTGGGGTGACCATCCGTCTTTGCTCTGGAGTAAACAAGGATGAAGAAATCTCCTACCCTGGGAACGATTCTCTCATTAATTGCTAGATCATTATAACAGATGATAAAGGCTTGAACTGAAGTAACACAATGAGCAGTAGCACCACTATGTGCTGAGTGTCATCTGGTACGTATGTCTCAGTATCAAACTACAACCTAATTCAAAGAAGACTTTGTGTCACCCTGTCAAATTAATAAAATAGATTATAGTTATAAATGTGAGGATGCAACCAAATGTACTTGATCTGTAAGTGAGGGACATGTCGCACAACATTTTTTGTATTACGTGTACAACTACAATGACTGTGTATCGAGCTCTGAGCAGTGCCAACAGTCTGTACTGTGCTGAACTCTGTATGTAAATGGTCTGTTTTTATGTGTTTTATTGTTAATCATTTGTTACCATGTTACCAATGGCATTCTGTAAATCAGGGTTCATCTGCACAAAGCAGTGGGTGATACATCCAGCTAATGTTGATACTGCTTTTCCTTTTCGTTGTTGGAGCCAAGGGCTGACATTGGCCGAGAGGTGGAGTCTCTGGACAGGTCACCAGTCCATACCTTTTAACTAAGTCAAAAGAGTAAAATAATTTTATTGTAGAGTTATACTCAGACCGGTCTTACCCCACTGTCTCTCTCTCCACCTCTTTCTGGCCCAGTTTCAATCTGGCTCCTCCACCCTCCCACTCGGAGGGAGTGTGACGTCACACTCAATGAGGCCCCTTCATTAAAGTGAAGGATAGCTCCAAGCTTGAGCATCAAATGCTCTTTCTTCCTTCTTTACACTCACCTTTCATGAATAATGGTTAATCTGAAGCTTCTTTGGCCACGTTTCCTTTTTTCGGAATATTTCGATATAAGTTGAAAGCATGAGAAAGAATAGCTATAATGACTAAACAGACACAGTAATGTCACAGCACTAGCCATGCTGTCTGATAAAAACAATGTGCAAAGCAAAAATACCACAGCAATGACCAGATACACTGGAGATCAACATCCAAAATGTAAAAAAGGTAAACAGACCATCAATTAGGAAAATAACAGTGAATTAATGTTTTATTTAAAGATCATTCAGCCATTCAAGCACATTGGAGCCATGATCTAAAGATGTGGGGGTTTTTTTTACTTCACAGGTGCTGGCATTTACCAATCTGAGAGCTGCATGTGTGAAACCTTAGTAACCAGCAATGGAGCCCTGGCCTGCAGTGGCCTGGGTCCTACTGCTGACCATCATCATGGGTCTTCTGAGAAGCTCCCACACCAGAGACTTTACTGAACAAGATATCATATTTCTTCACCCTGCGAGTGAGTGTCCTCCTTCAAACACCACACAACATGTTATTGCAGTGTTACACTCACAGCGTAAAGGAAAACTGGTACATTTTTTGTATCTCTCTAGTGCCTGAGGACAAGCAGGAAAAACTACAGTCACATGAAAAAAAAATCTCACAGACTATTAGGGAAGAGGAAAACAGAAATACATTAAGAGAGTGGGAGGGATGGACCACTACCTAATAAAGCAGTACATAACCAAGTATTTGAATCAGTCAACATCATGCTCATGATCCACCATCATGATCACAATCTACCATCCATGATCTGCGATCCTGCAATGATAAAAAAAAAACAAGGACTCTGGTAAAGAAGTCAAGTCCAACACCATGAATTGATCAGACATTAAAGTGATGAAGAGGAAGAGGAGGAAAGCAAAGTTCAATGCATCATGTGTCCCCCATCAATCTAATCCTATAGCAGCATAATAAAGAGCTGGTTCAAGAGGTGCTGAATCAAAAAGGAAAGTTCTAAAGTGATAGTTTTGACGAGGGATAGTTTACGGAAAAATGTTAATTCACTCATTATCTACTCACTGCTAGGTTAGGGGTGGGTGAAGTGTTTGAGTCCTAAAAACACTTTTGGTCCTCAAGACACTAATGGAGTCCTCCATACTGCTCCTGTGGTAATATCTAAGTGTCAAATTCAACTCGAAACAGTATCCTTTACACCATGTTTTTAGCCTAAATGTCCTCTGATATCCTCCTTTGGAGCCTCGTTCACGTCGCTACTTTCGGTAGCTGACTTTTCGGCTAAAAACAAACTACAGCTAACGGAGCTTCCAAGGTCTGGAGGTGATTTTCCAAATAGCTAAGCCTCTGTTTTTACTGACAATTACTGTTTAATGACTGAGGCAGAGGAACATCAGACACACGTTCAAGATAATGACCAGACAGACAGTATGTTTAGTGCGATGTTCCTTGGAAGGAATTGATTTTATGGATTTTGTCTTTTCACAGGTACTCCTTTTCCTGGTGGATACAAGTGCTTCACCTGTGAAGATGCACAAGATAACTTTGAGTGCAATCGCTGGGCACCAGACATGTACTGCCCGCATGGTAAGACTCCTGGCAAAGCATTATCACCAAATGCATGTGCAAAAATGTATTCAGAGGAAAAGCAGCTGGATCTTTTCATGATAAAGACTATAATTTGAAACCTAGTCATTATAGCCTACATTCAAACAAACATAAATAAAACATTAACTATAAATACAAATGTCAACTAATGAAAAGAAAACAGAATATAATAAAATAAGTACATGAATAAAGTTACCTATTTCAGAGCTATCAGCCACATTCTCTTTGTTAATTATTATCATTATTATATGTGGAGACGCTTTACATCACATTATGTATTATTCAACTATTTGGAAAAATGTAAACTGCATTTGTAAGATAAATGTAATGGAGTGGGTGTGACACATTGTTTTCTATACAAAATGTTAAAAGTGAAGAAAGAAATCTACTACAAATAAAAGCGCTTAAAGTAAGTGATTCGCTATGTTTAAAATATAAAGTAAAAGCACTAACTTNCTTTTTTTGTTTATTTATTTAATGGTCCTCATCTTCAGGTTTACAGAGGGACACAAGCTCATTACGCCAATGCCTTAATGATGGTGGATTTTCAGATTTCCAATTTGTAAGGATTCATTTTTTCATTGCAGCACTGGCCACTAAATAATGTTTTTCCTGTTATTGTTCACATTACCACTTATGTCCCCTACTTTACACAATTTTGGACCCAGCTCTATTAGAGAGCATATTATCTTTGAAGTTATTATAATACAATGTCATCATAATTCTTCCAAAGCATCCTCTTATCTCTGACAAATAAGAGGGATATTATTGTTGATTTTGTGTAACTGTTTGGGGTGTATTAGTTTTGTGAATTGAATTCGTCTATGTTTTGAGGAAATGAATACAGTCTGCGCCTGTTTCCATACATCTCTTCAAAAGCACAGCCTAGATCTGTTTCCCTTTTTCCCTTTTTGGATGTTTTATCATAGACATGTAAATTGCAAGTAATGACCCCAAATACAACATATGTTATTCCTCTAGCTGTGTACATGATCTGTTAAATAGATAGTTTGAAAGGAAAATGGTAATTGTATCATTAGTGTATCATTCAGAAATTCTACTATCCTTCCACTTAAATAATGTGGCATCAGCAAAGTTATTTTAATATATTAGTGTTACCCCATTAAAGGAGTCTTTCTGAGAATCCAAACATTTAGGTCTAAACATTTGTGAGATTCTTGTGCGATTGTTACCATGCAATGTATGTATTCAGTATTTTAGAGTTTTTGTGAATGTGATACTGTTTTGTGCCTATAAATTGCCTAAGTGCAATATATAAGTGCAACTAAACTTAATTATAATTATTTTATTTGTTACCAGAGTTGACGATGGTTATTAGACATCATCTTAGTTGCTGTGGATAAAGGTGCTATCAGTTGTCTGCTTATGAATGACTTGTTTGTCTTTGTCGTCAGTGTTGCTGATATAGGGTAGGCTCTTCGTAACTGAAGTTCAGACTATCTGTTGACTGGTTTTATGTCAGATTTATGGAATGCCTCGTTAGCTGTTGCCTATCCCTGCTCTTTGGTCCCTACCGGGATCTTGTAGATCGATGACTGGTTTTCCGATGATCTGATTGGTCAAGAGTGGCCATTGATTGATATTAATCTATTGTTTCAAACTTAACATGCATGAGGTTAGCAGCACAACATAACCATGCCATGGTGATTTACCCCACTAAGAATTAAACCAAATTCAAAAAACATAGTTTGTAGTACAGGCCCTTGGTGTTTTAATAATTCAGATGGTGAATACAGATTTTGGCCACAAAGTAAACAAAACTGCTGCACACATTTGCACAACATCATTTTCTTAGTCTAGCCGGCCCTCTGTGAATGACACCAGCATGAGATTTAAAAAAAACTGTCCTCAAGGATTTGCTTTAGTCGGTGTTCTGCAATTGGGTTCTAATGTCTTTCAGAAGCCACATATTGCTACACCCGTCACACAATAGATGGGGAAGGAAACAGTGTGTCAGTGACCAAACGCTGTGTGGTTCTGGAGGACTGTCTTTCCACAGGGTGCACTGAAATGGATCATGAAGGAAAACAGGTAGGGAAGTGTAGACAATCTGTGTGTGGGTGTGGTCCAGGTGTTACTCATGTGGGGTATTACTTATTACTCAGGTATTACTCATACTATTGTTACTCAAAAACTACTACTACTCCAGTCCCCATAACATACATCTGTAAGGTATGCTTTGATGTTATGTTAAGGTAATGTTTAGGTTGACGTTAGTGTAAGGCCCAATCTCTTTTCACCCCTTAGCCCTTTCCCTCTGTTTTGCACGATCCTGTGTAGGGGGAATGTTTCAGATACTTGTTGGAATGAAGGGGTAAAGACAAGTGTTAGGGCTTTACTGCCCTCAAAACTGAGATTTTTCACATTATCCCGTATGTTCACATAATTAAACCCCAGCACAGAGACAGAACACAAGGCGCCAAACAGTACGAATAGTTCAAGGGTATATGTAGTCAAATCAAAGGTGGCACGAGGATGAGATAAGGGAGTAGAGAGCAAATGATTGGCAGGAGACCCTGGATCCTGGAGGCACAAAGAGAAACACTGTGGGCAAACACGAGTTAAGACACAGGGATAAAACTCTAAATACACAATCTAGAGCGGCCAAGGATGAGTGACTACCACTGCAGTGTTGAGGGACAAACTGCCAGTTACTGGGAGCACGACCAGGGTAGATATCCTGCTGGTGATCAGTGTCTCAGCAGAGTCATCAGGGGAATATGGCACACACCTGCGGAGGGGAGAGAGACAAGAGAAGAGGGGAAAAACACTGGGGGGCTCGGGGGAGCTGTGACACAAATAGACAGTGATGAGTCAAAGAAAAGCAAGAAAAGAAACTTAATATGGCGTGCTATAAAAAAACAGAAGTGATGATCAAGACATGACAGACTATTGCATGTCCATTCTTCTGGCAGACAGTTCAAAACCAAAATATGTTCAGTTGTTGAATAATAATAGTAATTAATACCAACCTTCTGATTGGTCGATTATCCTTATAGTACTTGTACCAAAACTGTTTTGTTATATCAGAAATTGGAGGGCTAGATTTTAGTTTATAAAGGAAATATTACTGCCTCGATAAAGTTTATGTGCTATTTTAGCATGTTAGCACTGTGTTGTGACAACAAACATTGCTAATGATGTGTCTTCCTGCCCAGGTGTGCACAGCCTGCTGTGAAGGAAACATCTGTAACTTACCGGTGCCATGGAACGGAACCGATAGCATCTTTAGCCCCACTTCTCTCAGCAGCACTGTGGGACTTTCACAAAGCCCCTCTCTGACTTTTTCATTCATCAGCACTTTTTTATTTTTCTCAAGTGGTGTATGAAATGTGACAGTGGTCTTCAAAAAGGATCCTGACTGCTGTTTAGATTGTACTGCGACCTAAGGGAGTATATTATCACTATTATACTTGATTCTTCTTCTATTATTATAGTCTTATTTCAAAACAATGAACAATTACCACAGCCTAAAGTTGTAATTTAAAAAAAGCACCATCACTGATTTGTATATCACTCTTCTCAGTCCCTCTGAAGCATGAATCCAAGTCGAAATTTTACAGAAAATAAATCAAATCAGTTTTAAAGGAATACAGAACTTAGAAGCTGTAATACTTTCACATACTGAATAACTTTTTTGTTCTGATTTAGTTTTTCCCATTATACATGAGGTAGTACAAGTTGTGTCCATCTTCACACAATGTATACTGCATACCTAATCAACTCTTATGTACTTATGAGCATATTGTTTTGCCTGTTATCTTCCTCTTTAAGCCATTTTCAGACATGAACTCTGGAGAAGACTTTCTCAAGAGTTTGCCTTTCACACATGAGCAAGCAGCAGGAGATTCTCCGCTCAGACACGTTCACATCAACACAGAAATCTCTGGAGCGTTCAGGTGAGGGGTGACGCAGCACGGAGAGGCAGGACGTAACGCATTCATTCTGTCATGCACAGCTGCGTCGAGCCCTATAACCAAAAGCTCTCTTGACATATTCCATGTGTATTACACCACCACTTCTGAGCTGAATACATTTATATTATTTTTATTTTTGCGTCCGTCATGTGTCATCAACACGCCCACGTGCTTTTGGTGAATCCTGCGGAGGATCTCCTGCTATTGACTCACATGGTCTCATTCGGACATTCTCCTCCAATTTTTACAAGAAGGCTGGAGAAACACCGGAGAAAATCTGGAGCCTCTCACTCAGACATTTGTGTTCTCCAGAGAATGTCAGGAGATTATTCAGAGGGCATGTCTAAAAGCAGCTATACATTCACTTCATAAATAAACAGGCCCAAAGTTGAATGGGCTGGAGTTAGGCAGTATACAGTTACATGTACTGATGTGGCTGATCAGGCAGCGGCACATGCAGTATTAAAAATGATGTGTAGTTCATACTCAATTTCTCATTCTCATTTCCATTCTCACAGCAGAAGGCAGCTGTTTAAAAAAAAAAGATAAACTCACTCCACTGTTTTTTGTATTGTTTAACTGTATTGTTACCAAATCTTTCATGATCATATTGCTCTATTGGGTCTGTAAGTGTAGCTGATCTGCATAATGTTATGATATGTTATAATATGAGAAGGCTGTGTGATTGGCTGCTTGTTTGGAATTTCTCTCAGGGTCAAGAACATCAATGAAGCTGTGAGACAGGTTACAGAGGAGGTGAAGGATATTGTCCTTGCAAGTGCACGGCCTTTTTTAATATTTAGGATTTCATGCGTGATTCCCTAATCCATATTGTATATCATTGAATACATATATATTTATTTTTCTATATCAGCTGCTGTTGTGATGAATGTGACAGAGTTCGATGTGAAGCCTTGTGATTTGTGACTCAAGAGTTACCACGAGGTCAGATCAAAGAGTTCACTTATGAGAGCAGAATGATCGATCACATCGATGTCATGATTAACTAATGAATAATCACACTTCTTTTTCTTGGTGCTTTCCATGTGTGAACAAAATTCAAACATGGAAAACAACTACGATATTGAAGTACATTGCTTTCATATTTCAATAACCATATTTGAGTGCACATGACCCCTAAGGCTCTTTTCACACAATAAGCTCCAGAATTTGTGCTGACAACATTATTTTCCGAACCAACAGACAAATCTAGAGGCAGCACTGCTTTGGTCATCGTGCATCACTCTGTACCTAAAGGGTTAACTTTCGGTGGTCATCGATATTTACATGGAATATCAATGATATCAAGCTGTCAGTGATATTATGTAAAAGGCCTAAAATTGTCCTGATTCTTGGTCGGTGCAGATATTTAAAACTCTGCCTCTTACTTTTGACCTGTGTCCTTCACTGCTGCTTCATTTTAGAGCTCGACAGTTAACACAACTCTCACCATCCTAACTCTACTCTAATCACCTTTAATACATGTCTAAAAACTGACATTAACGTTAGACTTTTGTGCTGCCAATCATACTGCAGCGGAGCCAGTCACACTTAAGTGGATGTGAACATTGATGCCCTTAGAGAGAAAAGAGTGCGTACCTATCAATAAATAATCAGGTCTTGGTGAATATTGATTTGTGATTACTCACCTTTGTCATAGGAGTAAATTTCATACATCACTCTTGGTGTACTGAATATTTATGGTTCCATGTCTATGAAGAATACAGATCAAGCAGATCAGAGTAGGTGTCCTGTTTGTGTTGAAGCCCTGATCTTCCCTCCAGGTCCACCATCACCTGCATCTCATATCACTTAAGTCTGCTGCCTTCATCTGTGGTTCAGTCTATCACTGTAAGGGTTGTTGACCAATGTGTTAAACAAATGATTTAACTTCTTAGTATTTTGATTCTAAGAGAGCTGAAAGAGGATATACAGTATGTCAGTCTTCCCTTAATGACAAGCAGAAGCCATACTTTTCCCTCACATGTTTGAAGACCAAGGCTGTTAAAGTAAAGTATCTTCCTTTTGTTGGTTTAACACATTTTTGTTTGAACTGCTTCCCCACTATGATACTGCCAAGCCACGATATACATTATCTCAAAGCACATAGTAAGATTGAGACCTGACAAAATTAAAGAGAAACCCAAAAGTTCCCACAATGAGCAAACACATGACGACTGAGGAGAGAAAAAACTCCCGTTTAACTGGAAGTAACCTCCAGCAGAACCAGACTCAATGTAGACGGCCATCTGCCTCGACCGGTTGAAGTGAACATTCTTGCAGATGTTTCTGCTTTTAATTCACCAATACATTGAATTGCTTTTATTCAACATGTAAATAACCCCACTCACTGCTTT